CCCCCTCTTCTGTGTTTTTGTTTCCGGTGTACATACACCCCAACCATTCAAATAAAAGGCAATTAAAACAACATTTCTTTATTTCTTTTATGCTGGCATCAACACAAACTCCGCCTGCCTCTTTCTCTCTCTAAACCCCTTCTTCCTTCGCTTGTGGCGTGGGGGGCCCCCCTGCTTCAGGCCTTGAGGGCCCCATGGGCCCCAACAGGGGCCCCTTGGGGTTTTTGCGAGGGGCCCTTAGCCGGGCCCCTTCCGTCTTGCGGGGTTTGGGGGGCCCCCAGGGGGGGGCCCCCAGAGGGGCCCCCCGGGGGCCCCCTACTACTCCACCCGGAAGGGGCCCCCCACTAGGGGGCCCCCAGTCGTTCTCTGCTGCTGCTGCTGCTGCTGCTGCTGCTGCTCTGAAGCAGCGAATAGAAGCAGCAAACGAACGGCTGGGTATGTGGGCCCTTCGTGAGGCCCCCCCTGCGTTCAGGTTGCGGGGGCATAGGTATGCAGGGTACCCTGGGGGGCCCCCCCGTGGGGGCCCCCACAACAACCCGCTAGAGCAGCAAAAGAAAGCTAATATTTTGTCTGTTGCTGTCTTCGTTAGTGCTGCTGCTGTTCTCCTCCTCACCCCGCTGTATCTACACCTCAGATACTGCAGCAGCAGCACAAACAAATACAAAACAGGGCACACACAGCTCTAGCTGCAGCAGCAACAGCAGCTGCAGCAGCAACAGCAGCTGCAGCAGCAACAGCAGCTGCAGCAGCAACAACAGCAGCAGCAGCAACAGAAACAGCAGCAGCAGCAGCAGCAGCAGGTTTACGGATAGGGGGCCCTGCAACCAACGTCAGCTCTCCCTGACACTGACAGGGGCCCCCCTCCGGGGGCCCCTCTTTGGGGGCCCCTCTGCCCTTTTCTTTTCTCCTGGGGCCCCTGGGGGGCCCCCAATATATTTTAAAAAGGAAAGCGAATTGAGTCTGCGGCGGATATACTAATAAACAAAAACACAAACCCTCAACACTAGGCATACACAAACCCTCAGGGGGCCCCCCAATGGGCCCCAATGGGCCCCTTGGGGCCCCTTAGGGGGCCCCCCACCGGGCCCCGCTGGGGGGCCTCTGCGGAGCCCTTGAAGGGGGCCCCCCGGGGCGGCCCCCTAGGTGAGCCCTTGGAGGCCCCCTCAAGGGGGCCCCCTCATGGGGGCCCCCCAGGGGGCCCCCAGGGTGCCCCCCAATCGCCCCCTGAGGCCGTCAGGCACGGAGCCCCGCACGGGGGCCCCTCAAGGGGCCCCTTGGGGGCCCCTGGGGAGGGGTGAGGGGAACCCTGAAGGGCCCTTGTGGGGGCCCCTGCAGGGCCCCCAGGGTCCTGGGGGGCCCCCAGAACCCTAAACCCTAAACCCTAAACCCTAAACCCTAAAAAAGGGGATTCGTTTATACGCTCCGCAAGGAGTGCTGCACAGGGTGCGGTGGCAGGGCTGGCTGTAACGTAAACCCTAAACCCTAAACCCTCGATTGCTGAGCTGTGTTTAGTTGAACTTTGGGTCCCCCACGGGGTGTATGTACACTGCAGGGTGTATGGGCAGCACACAAGGCAGCAACACAGCGGCAACAGCAGCAGCAGCTGCAGCAGCAGCAGCAGCAGCAAAAACAGCTACAGCTGCAGCAACAAAACGCAAAAATCAACGAACAGCTACAGCATCAACAATCGCGAGTGCCGCTGCAGCAGCTGCAGCAGCAACTGCAGCAGCAACTGCAGCAGCAACTGCAGCAGCAGCAGCAGCAGCAGCAGCTTTCTGTTCTGTAGGAACGACCCAGACGGTCTGTATTCAGAAGCCCACCAGGAAAGCAGACGGAAAATATTAGGGTTTAGGGTTTAGGGTTTAGGGTTTAGGGTTTGATAGGGGTGCAGCTCTGGCCTTAAACCCTAAACCCTAAACCCTAAACCCCCAAGGCCATCCATCGAGATGTAATTCCCCTGTGTTATAGACTGCCGAGTCAGTCAGAGCCATACGCTATTAGGGTTTAGGGTTTAGGGTTTAGGGTTTAGGGCTAAGGGTTTAGGGTTTAGGGTTTAGGGTTTAGGGTTAGTAGTTTATGAGTAGGGCTTAGAGTTTAGGGTTTAGGGTTTAGGGTTTATAGCTTAGCGCCTAAGATTGACGGCTAATTGTTTCAGATTTAGGGTTTAGGGTTTAGGGTTTAGGGTTTAGGGTTTAGGGTTTAGGGTTTATTGGGGGGCCCCCGTGAGTGGGTTTAGGGTTTGTTGTCTGGGGGCCCCCTGCGAGTTCAGGGGCCCCCGGGTAGTATATATTTTTGCGTTTATTTATATAAATTATTTTATTATTTTATTATTTATTTGTTTTTATTTTTATAAAAATAAACAGCAGCAGAAGAGGGGGCCCCCTTCCCTCTGCTGCAGCAGCGCCGTCGCCATCTCTTGCTGCTGCAGCTCTCGATGCAGCAGCAGCAACAGCAGCAGCAACAGCAGCAGCAGCAGCAGCAACACGGAAAAAATAAATAGACCCTATTTACCCTATATTATAGGGGCCCCCTGCTGCATCGCTGCTGCTTTAGGGGCCCCCAGCCTCACGAGGGGCCCCCTGGGGGCCCCCCAGGGCCCCCATCGACGTTGCAGGCGGCGCACAGCAGCAGCAGCAACACCACCACCAAGCAGCAGCAGATGCTTCATCTGCAGCAGCAGAGAGACTTGCAGCAGCAATAGGGACAGCGGCAGCAGCAGAAGCTATAGAAGCAGCAACCGCAGCAGCAGCAGCAGCAGCACGAGCAGCAACAGCAACAGCAGCAGCAAGACCACCATCAGTAGCAGCTCCTGCAGCAGCAGCAGCAGCAGCAGCAGCAGGACGGCTTCTGTTGGGGGCCTCTGTGCCTCATGAGATGGAGGCCTTCGAGGCAGCAGCAGCAGCAGCAGCAGCAGCAACAGCAGCAGCAGCAGCAGCAGCAGCAACAGATACGGGGGCCCCTGAGCTTTCTCCTCCCTCCTCGGCCGAGGGGCCCCCCTGCCCTGTAGGGGGGCCCCCCTCGCACTTGGGGGCCCCTGGGGGGCCCCCCAGCTCAACGCTATTGGGTTTGTGTGGGCCCCTGCAGGGTACTGCAGCAGATAAAGAAATCCCGTTAAGAGTGGGCCCCCCTGCTGCAGCAGCTACTGCTGCAGCAGCAGCTGCTGCTGCTGCAGTTGCTGCTGCAGCTGCAGTAGCAAGGGGGGGCCCCCTTCTGGCTACAGCTGCAGCAGCAAGGGGGCCCCCCCTTCTAACCTCTGATGCAGCAGCACGGGGGGCCCCCCCGTCTGTTATTGCTGCTTTGCTTGATGCTTTCTATGGGGCCCTTGCTGCTGAGGGGGAGTTGCTGCTGCAGCAGGAGCAGCAGCAGCTGCAGCAAGCCAAGACCCACGAGCAGCAGCAACAGCAGCAGCAGCAGCAGCAGCAGCAGCAACGGCGACAGCAGCGGCAGTGTTTTGGGCGTCCTCATTGGCGGTCTGTCTATACACTGCAATGCAAGCAGCAGCTGCTGCAGCAGCTGCAGCAGCTAAGGGAAATAAACAAGCAGCAGCAGCAGCAGCAGCAGCAGCAACAGCAGCAGCAGCAGGGGGAGGCCCCTCTCTATGGTGTCGAGCTGCTGCTGCTGCAGCACAGCAGCGGGCAGGGGGCCCTCCACCGCCGCTTGGCTGCTGCAGCAAGGAGGGCCCTCACGGAGGCTTATGGGCCCCCCCAGGACCCTGCTGCTGCTGCTCTTCTGCAGCAGCAGCGGCGAGCAGCAGCAGCAGCAACAGCAGCAGCAGCAGCAGCAGGGAGGCAGCAAAGGAAAGGCAGCGGGCGGCGAAAGAACAAAAGAAGGGGCCCCCAAACCCCCCTTAAGAGGGGCCCCCTCCTGGGCCCTGCTGCTGTCAAGAGAGAGGCTCCTGCAGCAGCAACAGCAGCAGCAACAGCAGCAGCAGCAACAGCAGCAGCAGCAGCAGCAGCAGACGGTGCTGCAGCTGCTGTTGAAGGGCCTCCTCTGACCCGCCGTGCAGCTCGAGGGGGGCGCAGCGGGAGGCGGCAGCCAGCAGCAGCAGCAGCAGCAGCAGCAGCAACAGCAGCAGCAGCAGGAGAAGTATATGAAGACTCATCAGATGCAGCAACAGCAGCAGCAGCAGCAGCAGCAGCAACAGCAGCAGCAGCAGCAGCAGTACGTGAGGCTCTAGGATGCCCCCCGGGTCTCTCTTTGTCTCCTTTGCCTCGCTCCCTCTTTTGCTGCTGCGTCTGCTGCTGCTTCTTCAGCAGCAGCAAGTTGCTGCTGCAGCACATGGGGCCCCTGCCTCTCCTGTCTATGAGGGGGGCCCCCAGGGGCCCCCTGGGGGCCCCCAGGGGCCCCCTGAGTTTGTATAGGGCTGCAGCAGCAAAGAAAAAGAAAAAAACAAAAAAAGAGAGACAGAAGGTGAGGGTTTAGGAAGAAACAGAGACAAAGAGAGATAAAGAGAAAGAGAAAAAGAGAGAAAAAGAGAGAAAAAAATATATAAAAATATATAAAGAGAGACAGATATGTTTTGTTTGTTTTTGTTTTGTTGGTGCTGCTTTGTTTTGTTTTCTCTGTTATTGTCTCCTTTTGTCTCCTTTTGTCTCCTTTTGTTTGTTTTTTTTGTTTTGTTTTTTTTTGTATTTTTGTTTTTTAGTTTTATTGTCCTTTTCTTTTTGTTTATTTTATTTATAGTTATCTCTGTTTGTTTTTGTTTATTTTATTCAGTCTGTTTATTTTTGTCTCCTTTTGTTTTTATTTATTTATTTAATTTATTTTGTTTATTTTTGTCTCCTTTTGTTTTTATTTATTTATTTATTTAATTTATTTAATTTATTTATTTTATTTTTGTCTCCTTTTGTTTTTATTTATTTATTTATTTTATTTATTTTATTTATTTATTTTCTTTATTTTTGTCTCCTTTTGTGTGTGTAGGGTTTCTCTGGTTGTCTCCTCTCTCTCCGTTCTCTGCCTCTTTGGTTTGTCTTTTATAAACCCTAAACCCTAAACCCTAAACCCTAAACCCTAAACCGCGTACATTCCGAAACCCTTAACCCCTAAGCCCTAGACTCTAAACCCTAAACCCTAAACACTAAATATGTGGGGGCCCATCTGCTGCTGCCGCTGCTTCTGCTGCTGCTGCTGCTGCTGCTGCTGCTTCTGCTGCTGCTGCTGCTGCTTCTGCTGCCGCTGCTGTTGCTGCTGCTGCTGCTGCTGCTGTTGCTGCTGCTGCTGCTGCTGCTGCTGCTGCTGCTGCTGCTGCTTGCAGCCGAGCACGCGAAATGCTGCGGCGGTTTGGCGTTTACTGCAGCAGAGGACTCCTCAAGGATAGGCAAGCGAAACCCTAAACCCTAAACCCTAAACCCTAAACCCTAAACCCTCGAAAAGAGTGGGGACGAGAGAAGCAAGAGAAGGGGTTATTATGAGCGGCACTCTTTCTCTCTTTCTGTCTCTCTTTCTGTCTCTCTTTGTCTCTCTCTGCTTCTCTTTTTTTCTCTTTCTCTCTCTCTCTGTCTCTCTTTGTCTCTGTCTCTCTCTGTCTCTCTTTATCTCTCTTTGTCTATCTTTGTCTCTATCTCTTTATCTCTCATTGTCTCTCTCTGTCCCTCTCTGTCTCTCTTTGTTTTTTTTTCTCTTTTTCTCTATCTCTTTATCTCTCTTTGTCTCTGTTTGTTTCTTTTTGCTTCTGTTTGTCTCCGTCTGTCTCTGTCTCTCTCTCCACTTCTTTCTGTCTCTGCTTGTCTCTGTTTGTATATATTATATATAATATATAATATATAATATATAATATATAATATATAATACAAAATATATAATATATAATATAAAATATATAATATACAATATATAATATATAATATATAATATATAATATATATTATTTATTTTTATTTCTCTATAGGTTGGGGCCCCTCCCCTCGTTGCTTCTGTCTCTGCATGCCGCGGGGGGGGCCCCCCTCACCCTATCAATGGATGCCAGCAACAGGTACCCACATAAACCCTAAACCCTAAACCCTAAACCCTAAAACTAATAAGGGGGCCCCCATCTATTCTCACTGCTTGGGGGCCCCTGCATGGGGGCCCCCTGTATGGGGCCCCCCTGCAAAGGATGAATCTAATAGGGCACTCAATCGAACCCTCTGGGGCCCCCTAGAGCCTGGGGGCCCCTATTTCACATACCATACACAGCTGCTGCTGCTGCTGCTGCTGCTGCTGCTGCTGCTGCTGCTGCTTGTGCTGCACAGGGTAGAAGAGGAGGAGCCCGCGAGGCCTTCTCTTGATTCGCTTACAGACCAGTTGAGGGCCCCCATACACCAGGTGGGGCCTCCCTCAGTTGCCTGCTGCACAACACACAGGGGGGCCCCTTGGGGGGCCCCCAAGGGGGCCCCCTGTGGGGCCCCCAGGGGGGGGCCCCCAGTGGGGCCCCCAGGGGGGGGCCCCCAGTGGGGCCCCCAGGGGGGGGCCCCCAGTGGTGCCCCCAAGGGGGGCCCCCAAGGGGGGCCCCCAAGGGGGGCCCCCAAGGGGCCCCCTTTCCCTCCTATGGGGTGAAGTGGGGGGCCCCTTCAGCTGAACTCTGCAGCCGCCTCAGTGCTGCAGCTGTTGTGTGTTGGGGTTTGTGTTTGTTGGTGTTTAGGCCTTAGAGAGAATATTTCCGGAGT